TTACATTTGCAGCAAAAATTCGCCCATGTGATTAATGTGGACGGTCAGATTTCATAATTCTCGCACGTTCCTCATTAAACAATTGTAATTTGTTCAGGAAAACAAGTTGTTAGTTATGGTTCATGTCAGTTTCCTACGCTGGGATTTGTTGTCGAAAGATACAAAGCCATAGAGAGGTTTATATCTGAAACATATTGGAAGCTTGTTGTCAATCACCAGAGAGGAGATTCTAAGGTGTGTTTAAAGTTCATTTTCTGCTTTCATAAGGATTTTTCTTTTGAACACAAATTATGCAGAAAAGGAAATTTTTCTTTTTATCACTCTCACCATTATTTCCATATCTAGAGCTGTCATCATCGTATTTAAGGTAGAATTCACATGATCGCGTCAGGTTGTTCGATCAGGACATCGTTCAAGTAAGCTTCTTTAGCTGTTTCTCTTATTTTGGATATCAAACTAGTTGTGAAAGGTTCTTAGATTTTGAGATTTTGAAGGAAATTTGTTACGGACGTTCACATGTATGATGATGTTTTTACAACTTGATGATGAAAAAATGGTCATTTTTCGTAAGTTCTAATTTGCATTTGTTCAGATTCTGTACGATGACTGTGCTGAAGCTGGACAAGCAAAAATAGAAACGGTCACTAAAAAGCCCAAGAGCAAGTATAGGCCACAGGTAACATTCAAATGCTGACTACTTTCAATTCCTATTCAATTACATCTAGGCGTTGGATACTGTGGAATTGGAGAAGCTGGCAGTTCGAAAGTTGAAGATGAGCGCAAAACATGCCATGGATGTTGCCGAAAGGTTGTACAATAAGGGATATATTTCATATCCAAGGTAAACTCGAACTTCGATGTATGTAACTGTTTTAAGCGCTTCTGACTAAAGTTTTTCAAAATTGAATATTTAGCGAAGATTTTCGAAACTTATTTTCCCACTACAGCGAAGTTTCCATCATAATACAAAATACTTTTGGAAAGTCAGCATTTTGCGAAATTTTCTCATTCATTCTAATTTGTTATGTTTAGAACCGAAACCAACAAATTTCCTCCTGACATCAATTTGTCGTCACTCCTCAATAAACTAACGAGTTCTGCTTTATGGGGTGATTTTGCCAATGAGGTGTGCTCTTTGTCAAGCTGTGAAATTTCTGGTCCCGTAACCTTCTCCATAGATCCTGGAGCATGGCCCGAATCCACGAAATGGTACTAAAACTGATGAAGCTCATCCTCCTATCCATCCGCTGAAACATGTCGTGGAGTAAGTTTCTTGCGTTTTTCGATTTGATTGTCTGAGCTACTTTTTTTCAGTGGATCCTTACAAGGAGATGATTGGAGAGTCTATGAACTGATAGTACGACACTTCCTCGCTTGCCTTTCATGGGATGCTAAGGGACAAGAAACGCGAGTTGACGTACGCTCCAGTTTTTTTTCTGTGG